AACCCCCCCCCCCCCCCCCCCCCCGGAGCACGGCGTCTCTGCGTGATCGCCACCGCAAATAATAAAGAGCGAGGAAAAACAGATCGATAATTCCAATGGTGGGGGGAGGGAAAAAAAAAAAAAGATTTTAACCCCTCGCCCTCCAGAGGATTTCCCCCAAGCCCCCCCCCCCCCTGACCAGACCATTTGTGGCGTTACGGCGCTGCGTTAATTTAACTGACAATTGCGCGGTCATGCAACGCTGCACCCAAATTAAATTTACGTCCTTTTTTCCCACGTATTGAGCTTTCCTTTCGGTGGTATTTAATCGCCTGTACATTTTTTATTTTTTGCTCTATAAAAAAAAAAAAAAGACAATTTTGAGAAAAAAAAGCTTTTGCTATTAAACATGTCCAGTAAAAAAATTTAAAAAAAATCAAATTTCATCATAAATTTAGGATAAAATGTATTCTGCTCCGTGTCTTTGCTGAAAAAAATCCCAATATGTGTAAATGAATTGGTTTACGTGAACGTTATAGCGTTTACAAATGACGGTATAGATAATGGGAATTCTTTTGTTATTTTCTTTTTTTTTTACTAGTAATGGCGGCGATCAGCAACTTATAGCGGGACTGCGGTGGGCATTCTGACACTGGGGGGGGGGGGGGGGGGGACTGACTTGGTGTCACTGACATCCCCAGTGACACCAATACAGGGATCAGTACTAGTAAAAAGCGCTGACACTGTACTAATGGCACTGGGCAAGAAGGGGTTAACATCTGGAGTGATCAAAGGGTTAACTGTGTGCCGTGTGTGTGTTTTGCTAGGGAGACATGCTGCTGTGCAGAGCAATACAAGGCAGCATGTCCTTGCTGAAGGCACTAATGGCACTAGGCAGGAATGGGGTTATCATGAGGGGCGATCAAAGAGTTAAATGTGTGCTGTGTGTTTTTTACTAGGGAGACATGCTGTGCAGAGAAATACAAAGCAGCATGTCCTCGCTGAAGGCACTAATGGCACTGGGCAGGGAGGGGTTAACATGTGAGGCAATCAAAGGGTTAACTGTGTGTTTTACTAGGGAGACATGCTGTGCAGAGAAATACAAAGCAGCATATCCTTGCTGACAGGCACTAACGGCACTGGGCAGGGAGGGTTAACATGTGGGGCAATCAAAGGGTTAACTGTGTGTTTTACTAGGGAGACATGCTGTGCAGAGAAATACAAAGCAGCATGTCCTTGCTGACAGGCACTAATGGCACAGGGCAGGAAGGGGTTACCATGTGGGGCGATCAAAGGGTTAACTGTGTGTTTTACTAGGTAGACATGCTGTGCAATGAAATACAAAGCAGCATGTCCTTGCTGACAGGCACTAATGGCACTGGGCAGGGAGAGGTTAACATGTGGGACAATCAAAGGTTAACTGTGTGTTTTACTAGGTAGACATGCTGTGCAGAGAAATACAAAGCAGCATGTCCTTACTGACAGGCACTAATGATGATGTGAACGATCCTCCACCTCTATCCGAGGGTGTCAGTGGGAACTCAGCAGTTTTAGGAGCCGTGGCAGAACGGAGGAGCCACCATCACCAGATATGAGATTCTGTTGATTGGATTTCCATCCACTGTGAATAGTAAGCTCTTGCGCTCAGTCATTGCGTATCTGTCTGGGTACGTCTGTCGTAGACCAGCAGTGCATGCGACAAGTACACTCGCAGAGAACCGCAGCAGTTGGTCTCCTGCGCACCGATGCCATCTGACACTAAGAACGATCCTATAGATGGCTCAGCCAAGAGAGCGCAAGGCGACAGAACGCAAAGAGGCCGCGCGTCACTCACCGCCGATGAATAAAGGATGAGACCAGCAGGGCAGCTCACTTCTAAAATGTCAAAATCAATTTATAATGAGGACGGATGAGAGGAGATCGGAGCCCCAAATGGCTGACATTTCCCTAAAGCTCCGCGTATGAGAAAATATTTGTTTTTAATTTTCTGTTGTCACCCGAAGCTGCGGATCTCCTGCAGCCCTTTTCTACCTAGATGCAATAGCCGCATCCTCACACAAATCCACCCCCCCTGCCATTCCAAATCCCCCCTCCCAGAACAAATGTCTCTCCACAAATCGCTCATCCTAGCACAAATCCACCCCCCATTCCAAATCCCCCCTCCCAGAACAAATGTCTCTCCCTAAATCAATCATCCTAGCACAAATCCCCCCCAATTTCCCCTTTCAGCACAAATACTCCCCAATCACTACTACTAGTACAAATCCCCCCAAATCCCCACTCCTAGCACACCTCCCCACAACAATTCTTACCCCCTGCCACCCCCCAAATCCCCCTCTCCAATACAAATTTCCTCCCCCCATTCTCCTCGTGGTCCCCCCACCTCACATGATGCGCAGTGCCCAGGGCAGTACCCCTCCTGCCCACCCCTTATCCCAGCCCTGGTAGCCCCTTTGTCCTCAACAGGGGCTGTTTCGTTTTTGGCTGGGCTGTAGTCCGCTCCGGCTGATTGTATACTTTTTCACCAGGTTTTTTCCCTGTGCTTAAGTTGGCTCGTGATTTCTCCGTGTTGCCAGCAGATGTCGCTGTATCACTGATCATAGCGTGAGATTTCACAAACAAAACTAAGTTATGAATATTTATTTTTCCTTCGGCCAATCAGATAGGAGGTCAGGTCACTGGCGCATGCCGGGGGAAGATATAAATATTTGAGACAAGCCACGTGCTGGCTTTCTTCCCCTGGCCTGAGGCCTGAGATGGAGCTCTGATGTTAGGCCCAGTAGCCTCCTTTGGGGCCCAATATGTGCAGAACTGGTCCTGGAGCTATCCTGCTGAGGGATGGAGGAAGCTGTGCCAAGGAGGAGATCCAGGGGAGGCCCCTTGCTGGAGAGGGCCAGAAAGAAGGCTGGTCCCTCAGAATTGCCTGGTGACCCATTTGGAGGACGCACTCAAATTTGGGAACGTGCTTCCAATGTGGCCAGGTCGGCTTACAGGTTCTGACAATGTGAAGCTGGACATGGATTTGGATTTGTAAGTGATCTGCTGCCGTATCTGGAACCCCTAAAGCAGGCCATAGATGGGTCGAACATTGGCCGATTAAAAAAAAAAAAAAAAACGAAAAATCGGTAGTTCGATTGGCCGATGTTACCACCAACGTTAAACGGATTTTCATCCCGTCTATGGCCGGCATTAACCCCATAACTTCTGTCCCTTGCAGAGACGGGAGCACACCATACAATGTGACAGCAATACAGAAGAAGAGGAACAATAGGAAGAAGAAGAATAGGAAGAAGAATAGGAAGAAGAAGGAGAAGAAGAAGAAAAGGAAGAAGAAGAAGAAGAAGAAGAAGAAGGAAGAAGAAGAAGAAGAAGAAGAAGAAGAAGAAGAAGAAGAATAGGAAAGAAGAAGAAGAAGAAAAGGAAGAAGAAGAATAGGAAGAAGAAGAGAAGAAGAAGAAGAAAGAAGAAGAAGAAGAAGAAGAATAGGAAGAAGGAGAATAGGAAGAAGAAAAGGAAGAAGAAGAATAGGAAGAAGAAGAAGAAAAGGAAGAAGGAGAATAGGAAGAAGAAGAAGAAGAATAGAAAGAGAAGAAGAAGAAGAATAGGAAGAAGTGGAAGAAGAAGAAGTAGAATAGGAAGAAGAAGAAGAATAGGAAGAAGAAGAAGAAGAATAGGAAGAAGAAGAAGAATAGGAAGAGGAAGAATAGGAAGAAGAGGAAGAAGAAGAAGAATAGGAAGAGGAAGAATAGGAAGAGGAAGAATAGGAAGAGGAAGAAGAATAGGAAGAAGAAGAAGAATAAGAAGAAGAAGAATAGGAAGAAGAATAGAAAGAAGGAGAAGAAGAAGGAAGAAGAAGAATAGGAAGAAGAAGAAGAAGACTAGGAAGAAGAAGAATAGGAAGAAGAAGAAGAAGGAGAAGAAGAATAGGAAGAACAAGAATAGGAAGCAGAAGAATAGGAAGAAGAAGAAGAAGAAGAGGAAGAAGAAGAAGAATTCCAGTCCGCTATTATATTTTATATGACAAGGTCTTGCGGTTGCAACAAATGTATCCATTTGTATCCGAATAAAACCATTGTAATACATTATTTGAATATTGATGTTTTTATTTGGATACAAATGGATACATTGTTTCAGCTGCAAGACTTTTTCATATAAAATCTAATAGCAGACTGGAATTCTTCTTTTTCTTTTTCTACTTCTCCTTCTTTTTCTTCTTCCAAGTCACGGCTCATGCGCAGATTTTTTATCGGTAAAACGATCGGCCGATTTGCCTATCATTGCTGGGAAAATCGGCCGATCGTCAAATTCGGCTGCAAATTTTCCAACATGCCTGATTAAAAAAATGTGCAAATACCCCGAAAAACGGCCGACCAATTAACCCACTAACGGTGCGAAAATCGGACGATTTTTTTTTTGTCGGCCAAAAAATTGGCCGAATTTTCGACCCGTCTATGGCCGGGATAACCCTCACCTTGCGATCAAATTGCAACCCTTTAGATGCCAGTGGCTAGAGAAGGCCATGTGTTTGTCTGAAACAGATATCAATGGCTTCATAGTGGTTTTTTCATTGTGGAACGATTATTTGTTTTTTTTTTTTCTGCCCATCGGCTGGAATGCTGAATGTAACGGCCGTGCGCACTGGGCACATCGAATAGCCGTGTGTGTAGCAGCCATTGTTTTCACATCACATGTCTCCCATGCCATTTTTGCATGAATTTCACGCTTGCTCTTTGTTCTAGCTTGCTGTCTACGATGAAAGAGGAGACGCGGGTAACGCACGTGGTCAGAATAGCACCAGTTGCGCAGCTCCCGATGTACCATAGACGATGTCTTTTGGCACACTGACATATGAAGGTCGGTGCTCCCTGTGACTGTGCGTGCAGCCATCAGTTGGTGTGTTACAAAACTAGTCTCGAAACTTTATTGATACCGCCTCGTGCATACGGTGTACGCCTGCGCAGGGGCGTTTGTTCTATCACAGGTAATAAGGGTTCAAACACATCTGCGCATGCAGCACCTACCACGGTCACGGCGTCGTTCAGCAGAGACTCTCCGAACACGATGATGAAAAGGGTCTCGTTGACGTGAACTTCCTCAAACACGGCCAGCACGGCGACAGGGTCCACGGCAGAAATGAGGCTTCCGAAAAGCAGGAAATCCATCAGACCGGCCTCTACCTGAGGATCTGAAGCGAAAATGGTTACAATTTAGAAACTCGTCCGACTTCCAGCGATTCTATAGCATGCTTGTAATGTTACGAAGTACACTCGGCGGTTTGCCTGTCCAGACCATACACCTTACAATGTGATTTGTACAGTGTCGTAAATCTGCCAATACCGATGTAGAGCAAGGGCCTGGAAGAGGGGGAGAATTGTGGCTTGCAAAGGGAATTTATACTTGAGGGTAAGCATGCAGATTAGAGCTGAAATGTTTTTTTTTTTTTTTGGGGGGGGGGGGAGATTTTGCTGACACGTAATTCTGGTACATTTTAGGCAGGGGGGGCCCCATTTGGCACCTTTGCCCTGGGCACTAGATGGCCTTGTCCCGACACTGATATAGGCGCCCCCTGTCTGGTTGCATATTTTTGGTGAAGGCGAGCCCCCCCCCCCCCCTCCACCTCTGCTTTCGATCTGATAGGATCATCGGTGGCACGCATCGACTCTTTCCCTTAAAAGCACAACTGAGCGGAAATCTGTCTCGATTTGTTGAAATGGGAACATCAGCTATTTTCTCGTCTCCACTAACAGCGTGTTAATATCCATCATTTCCCACACACAAACATCCCGGATTGTACCATCTGAGTGACACCGTTCCCTAAACAAAACCCTGGAAAGAAAAGCTGACTTTTAAAGGGGCCGACATCGAAAAACAAGGCATGCAAATGTGACCCGAATCGATCTGGCCCGATGGAGAAAAGCTGGAAGAGCGGGGATTGCATAGTCCTGGACTGGCTGGGGGGTCACAGACGGCTCAGCAGTCCCAGAGGTACAGGTGGTAGGAGCAGGGCCCAGGGATAGTCTTTTTTCTGTGCCTGACACAGGGTGGTAGGGAGGGGGGATAGTTCCTGTAAAGGTGAACTAACCCTTTAAGCTGCTACACTTCCCCGCCTGCCACAGATACGGCAAGGGTCTCCAAAACTCTGCAGGATGGATGTGGCCCTTTCGGCCTGCCTTTAAATGGCCCTTAGGGCACTATTCCAACCACTGACACCAATGATGGCACAAACCATTCCTTCCACTGACACCAATGATGGGCACTAATCCTCCTCCCATTGATACCAATGATTGGACACTATTCCTCCCACTGATACCAATGATGGGGCACTATTCCTCCCACTGATACCAATGATGGGGGGACACTGTTCACTCCCACACTGACAACCAATGAATGGGGTACTATTCCTCCCACTGACACCAATGAACATACTATTCCTCCCCACTGACACCAGTGATGGAGCCACTTTCCTCCCACTGACAAAATGACATACTATTCCTCCCACTGACACCAATGACATACTATTCCCCCCACTGACACCAATGATGGGGCACTATTCCTCCCACTGATACAATGATGGGGCACTATTCCTTCCACTGACACCAATGATGGGGCACTATTCCCCCTGACACCTGATGGGGCACCTCCCACTGAATGATGGGCACTATTCCTCCCACTGATACCTTCCACTGATGGATGGGGCACTATTCCTCTCCCACTGACACCAATGATGGGTACTATTCCTCCCACTGACTACCAATGACACAGATTCCTCCCCACTGAAGACCAATGATTGGGGCACTATTCCTCCACTGACACCAATGATGGGCACTATTCCTCCCACTGACACCAATGATGGGGACACTATTCCTCCCACTACGACTGATACCAATGATGGGGCACTATTCCTCCCACTGACACCAATGATGGGGCACTATTCCTCCCACTGACACCAATGATGGGGCACTATTCCTCCCACTGACACAATTCCTCCCACTGATGATTGGGCACTATTCCTCCCACTGACACCAATGATGGGCTAATCCTCCCACATGACACCAATGATGGGGTCATTATTTCCAATGATGGGGCACTATTCCTCCCACTGACACCAATGATGGGGCACTATTCCTCCCACTGATACCAAGGATGGGGTGCACTACCAACTGACACCATTCCTCCCACACCAATGATGATGGGGGCACTATTCCTCCCACTGACACCAATGATGGGGCACTATTCCTCCCACTGATGATGGGGCACTATTCCTCCCACTGATACCATGATGGGGCACTATTCCTCCCACTGATACCAATGATGGGGCACTATTCCTCCCACTGATACCAATGATGGGGCACTATTCCTCCCACTGACACCAATGATGGGCACTATTCCTCCCACTGACACCAATGATGGGGCACTATTCCTCCCACTGACACCAATGATGGAACACTATTCCTCCCACTGACACTGGAGCATTTTCTACTCCCACTGACCACAGTCAAGCCCCAAAAGTAACCAGTAAACTGGTTGTTTAGAAAGTCTGGAGACCCCTGGAGTAGAGGTTTAAAGTGGTTGTAAACGTTTCCATATACCAAGTGAAGTGACCAGCCTCAGGTGATACACAGAGATGAAACAAATGCTGCTACATAAGTTGTACCTGTTTATCAGCAGTTTTCTCTTTACAGTTCAAAGTACAGAATCTATACAACATTTCTCAGCTCCAGAAGACAGCGGTCAGGGATCTGATGTCACGCACTGCACTGCATAGAGCACGGATCTGAGTGTAATGTGAGACCTGAGTGGAAAGGAATGGACACCCCCTCCATATACAGAGTCTTATAGGAAAACATGCACAGATGAGGCTGTCAGTCACCTGCTGCTGGAGGGGGGCGTGGGGGCCATCTGAAGTGACACTAGGTGATACTAGGTGGTTTCTGTTGAGGCAAGCACACACCATAGAAGGATACACTTTGTTCATTTTAAATTTACAGAATGGGGTTAAGGGGCACAGAGTGAAAAATGAAGCTTTCCTTTCAGGTTCATTATTATTAAAAGACCATCAAATTGTCTCTGGCAACCTTCGTCTTTGGATCTGTCATTCTCCGCGGAGGTCACAATTCCTTCTGATTGGATGGAGAGAATATATTATGGATGAATCTGCAGCCTCCATAGATGAAGCCAATGCTTCGATTCATCACCCGAACATGAAGTCATGTATGAGCGGGGGCAGGGAGATGGCATTCATTACCATATCATTTCTGAAGTCCTTTAAAGTCGGATGAAATCATTTCCCAGCTTTCCATTATTTATGATGAGACCATGAATGTGTGAATGTGAATGTGTGAATGTGAATGTGTGAATGTGTGAATGTGTGAATGTGAATGTGTGAATGTGAATGTGTGAATGTGTGAATGTGAATGTGTGAATGTGTGAATGTGTGAATGTGAATGTATGAATGTGAATGTGTGAATGTGAATGTGTGAATGTGAATGTGTGAATGTGTGAATGTGTGAATGTGAATGTGTGAATGTGAATGTGTGAATGTGAATGTGTGAATGTGAATGTGTGAATGTGAATGAATGTGAATGTGTGAATGTGATAATCTTCTGGAGGCAGAACCTCTCCCCTCTGCTCCACGGGAATCTTCAGCGGCCAAATCCTGTGCCTGAAGCTGATGTAGACCCCAACCCTGGGGGGGGGGGGGGGGGGTCAACCATTCAGGATTTACCTGGACAACATGTAGGAAATCAAAGCGCCCCTGGGAGGGCTTCCTTTAAAAAAAAAATAACTATGAAGCCCCCAATAAAAATACAGCAAAGTGTCTTGTGTCCCCCTGTCCCCCCCCAAACCCCCACTAACGTCCTCAGCTCCCCTTCACATCACCCCCCCCCCTCACTGTAGTCACCTCTGCCTCCCCATTAGCAGTGCCCTGCCCCCCTTCACATTCTCCCCCCTCCCCACTATGGTGCCTTCTGTTCCCCCTCTATCCCACCATAGAGCCGCCCTCCCCCTGTAGCAGTTTCCTGTGCCCCCCCCCCCAAAGCACTGTCTTTTGTCCCCCTTCACATCGCCTCGCCCAACTGTAATGTCCTCTGCACCCCCATAGCAGTGTTCTCTGCCCCCCCCCCCCCCATAGCAGTGTTCTCTGTCCCCTCCCCATAGCAGTGTTCTCTGGTCCCCCCCCCCCCCCCCCCCCCCCCCCATGAGCAGTGTTCTCTATCCCCCCCCCCATAGCAGTGTTCTCTGCCCCCCCCCCCCCCATAGCAGTGTTCTCTGTTCATCCCCATAGCAGTGTGCTGCCCTCCTTCACATTCTTCTCCCCCCCCCCCCCATTATAGTGCATTCTACTCCCCCTCCATCCCACCGTAGAGCTTCCCTCCCCTTGTAGCAGTGTCCTGTGCCCCCCCCAAAGCAATGTCTTTTGTCCCCCTTCACATCACCTCTCCCAACTGTAGTGTCCTCATCACCCACATAGCAGTGCTCTCTGCCCCCCCCCCATAGCAATGTTCTCTGCCCCCCCTCAATAGCAGTGCTTTCTGTTCCCTTCACACACCCCCACTATAGTGTCCTCTGCCCACCTCCTCCCCCCACAGCAATGTCCTCTGTCCCCTTCACACCCTCCCTCCCCCCCACGATAGTGTTCTCTGTGCCCCCCCCGAACAATGAAGTGTCCTCTGTCCCCTTCACCCTCCTCCCCGCTGTAGTGTCCTAGCTCCATAGCAGTGTCCTGTCCCCTTGCACATTGCCCCCCCCCCCTCACTATAGTGCCTTCTGCTCCTCCTCCATCCCACCGTAGAGCCTCCCTCCCCCTGTAGCAGTGTCCTGTGCCCCCCCCCCCCCCAAAAGCACTGTCTTCTGTCTCCCTTCACATCACCTCTCCCAACTGTAGTGTCCTCTGCACCCCCATAGCAGTGTTCTCTGTCCTATCAAGAAACGTTGCTGGAGCTGCGGCGCTCCCATCGTATAAACGTTCCAGCTGGCAGCCATGTAGTGTGGAGACATCACGTGAAGCTCTATCCAACGCGTTTCGTCATCCTGACGACATCAAACAACGATGAAACGCATTGGGTAGAGCTTCACATGACGTGAAGTGCTGTTGGCTTTTTAATACAAAAGCCCAATATCTCTGGTAAGAGCTCTTATATGTCTTGTCGTTTTCACCAGGATCTTAGCGCGGTCATCGCCCTCATTTTTGAATTCACAGAATGTGGGGTTCTGCGTCCCTTTTGAGGGTTTGGTTTCACTCATTTAAGAAGTTTATTTGAGCACTGACTTTTGCATACAATGCAGCCTCATTCGTGCCCATCAGTGCAGCCTCATTAATGCCCATCAGTGCAGCCTCATTAATGCCCATCAGTGCAGCCTCATTAGTGCCCATCAGTGCAGCCTCATTAATGCCCATCAGTGCAGCCTCATTAGTGCCCATCAGTGCAGCTTTATCAGTGCCCATCAGTGCAGCCTCATCAGTGCCCATCAGTGCAGCCTATCAGTGCCCATCAATGCAACCTACTAGTGTCTATCAGTGCCCATCAGTGTCCATCAGTGCAGCCTATCAGTGTCTATCAGTGCAGCCTATCAGTGTCCATCAATGCAGCCTATTAGTGCCTATCAGTGCAGCCTCATCAGTGCCCATCAGTGCAGCTTATCAGTGCCCATCAGTGCAGCCTCATCAGTGCAGCCTGGCAGTGCCCATCTGTGCAGCCTATCATGCCTATTAGTACCAACAGTGCAGCCTCATCAGTGCAGCCTCATCAGTGCCCATCAGTGCAGCCTATCAGTGCCTATTAGTGCCCATCAGTGCACCCTATCAATGCCTATCAGTGTCCATCAGTGCAGCCTCATCATTGCCCATCAGTGCAGCCTATCAGTGCCCATCAGTGCAGCCTCATCAGTGCCCATCAGTGCAGCCTCATCAGTGCCCATCAGTGCAGCCTCATCAGTGCCGCCTATCAAAGCCCATCAGTGCAGCCTATCAGTACCCATCAGTGCAGCCTATCAGTACCCATCAGTGCAGCCTATCTGTGCCCATCAGCGCAGCCTCATGCAGCCTCATCAGCCGCCTATCAAAGCCCATCAGTGCATCCTATCAGTATCCATGAGTCCAGCCTCATCAGTGCCCATCAGTGCAGCCTATCAGTGTCCATCAGTGCAGCCTATCAGTGCCTATCATTGCCCATCAGTGCAGCCTCAATAGCGCACATCAGGCACATCAGTGAAAAGAAAAATTACTTATTTGCAAAATTGTATAAACAGAAACTAGGAAACACTTTTTTCCCCAAAAGTTTTAGTCTTTTTTTTTGTTTGTTTAGCAAACAAATAACCCCCCCCCCACCCCCCCCCCCCACGGTGAATAAATACCACCAAAGGAAAGCTCTATCTGTCTAAAACAAAATGGAAAAACATTTATATGGCTGCAGTTTTGCACGACCGCATAATTGTCATTCAAAGTGTGACAGCGCTGAAAGCTGAAAATTGGCCTGGACAGGAAGGGGGTGAAGGTTGCCGGCATTGAAGGGGTTCAACAAAACAGGTCCCAACCGGGAAATTAAAATTCTAACAGAACATTTTTTTTTTTTGTAATTGGGCTTTAGATCGACTTTAAATAACCCGAACACTCACCCATGAGGCCCATCAGCTTCACCCCCCACAGCGCAGTCCCTGTCGCAAAGGAGTTCCAGACGGTGCCCACCACGGCGTACATCAGGATGGCTCCGATGTTATCAAAGAAGAGTCGGCTGGGCAT